CAATGTTGGCCAGGCTCATCACCTGATATCAAGTAATCTGCCCACCTCAGCCTCCCAAAGTAAGGAATTCATTATCTTGTCAAAAAATCTTTCTTCTTAATCACTCCATGGCCTCCACTTCTTCCTCCCATACTCTGCCGAAGGTGCAACAATTCCGTATCCTGACTCTCACTGGAGACGCTTTTTATCCTTTGAAGTTCACTTTCCTGGTTGCCTGTGACCTCAAGTCTCTGAAGCGTTTAAGGAAATAAAATTACAATATTGTACACTGTTCATCATTTTCTTGTTGTTAGGATGGGAATGACATTCTCTCACAGCTTTCTACATCTCAAGAAGGAGCAGAAATCCTCATGTATTATTAATAGCACCACCTTTCACTTCACAAGCACTCTAGGTTGGAGGATAAATTCTAGGGCTGCAGAAGGTCAGGCCCCCACTGGAGGCTACCGGCTCTTGGCAGATGCATCCAGGGCAATGCCAAATGCAGGGCTCTTTTTCTCTGGGTTCCTTCTTAGTTTTCTGGCCTTAGAAGATTTCCTTGACTTTCCTGTAAGCTTAGGTGCACATTTTAAAAAATGTTTTTTAAAAAACTATCTTATCCAGAATTTTTTTTTTTTTTTTTTTTGATACAGTCTCACTCTGTTGCCCAGGCTGGAGTGCAGTGGTGTGATCTCAGCTCACTGCAACCTCTGCCTCCCGGGTTCAAGTGATTCACCTGCCTCCTCCTCCTCCTGAGTAGCTGGGATTACAGGCACCTGCCACCATGCCCAGCTAATTTTTGTATTTTTAGTAGAGCCAGGGTTTCACCATGTTGGCTAGGCTGATCTCAAACTCCTGACCTCAGGTGATCTACCTGCCTTGGCCTCCCAAAATGCTGGCATTACAGGTGTGAGCCACCGCACCTGGCTTTATTCAACATTTTTAAATGGCAGAAAAGCTTCTCCAGATATTTAGTGAGTCATATAGCTGGAAACAAAAGTTGAAAAAAATGTTTTATAATATTAAAATGGTAAGGTTTTACTTCTTTCCTTATTAACATTAATGATTCTTGAAATCGTTGGTCAGATGACTGTCAAAAAGCAATCGTTAATATAAAATTAATATTTAAAAAATACAATCTGTTAGTGTCAGAGATGGTCTTTACTAAGCTTTCCTTAAACACTTTAAAAATTCAATTTATCTGGAGGGTGTTAACATGAATAATTTAAAATTCATTTCCCAACTGCAAGGGAAATCAAATTGATTCTAATGGTTTTCCTGAGTCCAAAGGCTTGGTTATTTTTAATGTTTTTTTTTTGGATAATAAATGGGTAGCAACATGATGATAGATGAGACAGAGATTATTGTTACAGCCTATTAAGGCAACTTTAGACACTGATGTTATCATAACCAAGGTGAGCCTAGGTGTAGAAATTGTAGCGTTCCTGGAGCAGAAAGATGATCAACTCGATGCGACCAGTCAGCTAACAGAAATCAGCTCTGATGCCCACAGCGACCATGCTGCTGAGAACTCAGTGGGCTGGATGCTGGAGAGGAGTTGGTGCTGTTTTAATGATTTATAGGAAGGCCCCATGAAAGGACTGAAACATTGCAGGATGGAAGCCTAGACACCTGGGTTCCCTCTAGGTGGCAATGTATTCCAAGCATATAAACGTGATCCCACTGCCCCTACATCTGATTGGGCCCATCTGGCTGACTAGGGGGCTGTCTCCACCATTCCATGAATTTCTTCCCCTGTGTACCACCCACTGCACCCCATGTTGAGCACTTCGTTGAGGAGGACAATTATTTGAGATACAGCTAGATTGTTCTTTGAAGTCAAGCATATGGGGGAATTGGGGGCTTCCCTCCAAATCAGCTTTTTTTTTTTTTTTTTTTTTAGATGGAGTTTCACTCTTGTTGCCCAGGCTGAAGTGCAATGGCATGATCTTGGCACACTGCCACATCTGCCTCCCAGTTTCAAGCGATTCTCCTGCCTCAGCCTGCTGAGTAACTGAGATTACAGGCATTTAACACCATGCCCTGCTAATTTTGTATTTTTAGCAGAGACGGGGATTCTCCATGTTGATGAGGCTGGTCTTGAACTCCTGACTTCAGGTGATTCGCCTGTGTTGGCCTGCCAAAGTGCTGGGATTACAGGCTTCAGCCACTGCACCCAGCCAACCCAAATCAGCTCTTAAGTCCATTTGTAGGAACTATATGTGAGGGCATGCTTGAAAGCTTCAGCCACAACAATTTCATTCCTTTAAAAGTGATGGATTCCATCATGTTAGACGGATTTTATAGGCATGTGTTGTATTATGGAAAAATGAAAATGCATCCTCTGGAGACACACTGGTAGATTTCTAAATTATGTCATATGGTTGGATTCAGCCCACAGCAACTGTTACGCTCTGAATTGTTCATCTCAGGACAAGTATTTAGTTTGTGGAATTTAATAGTGCCCCTTAAGTTTCTAGAGTTTGTCTTTCCGGTCCACAACTGAAAGAAAGGTTAAGAGTCTCTAACCTTAAACTCTGTACACAGAAGGCCCTTGATAAAAAGCTCAGGGCTGAATTGAAGAGGATTCTGAGTAGATTCCTCTCCCTCTGGGATCCCCATCCTATTCGTTTACTTGAAAGTGTGGTGGTTCTTCTAACAAGCTCAGCTTTAGGGCTCTGAACTGGCTAATGCTGTAGTTTATTCCATTACGTATTATGTTGGTTTATATCCCCACAGAATCACCAAGCCCAATTTACAGGTTGTTCTTTTTTATAGACCTGTGAAATCCCCTGGGTGCTCCAAAGAGCTTTGGGGTTTCTGGGTACGTAAGCAATGATAGGGCTCTGCAGGCAAGAGTCAGAACTCAGGGGAAACCGGCAGTTTGTTATGCCCAGCCCCTTCCATCTCGATTGACACATCCCAGAAACAGTCGTTTCGAAATGAACCAGCTGAGTCATAGAGCAGTACAAGTGATATGGTTTGGCTGTGTCCTCACACAAATCTCATCCTGAATTCCCATGTGTTGTGGGAGGGACCCTGTGGGAGGGACCCTGTGGGAGGTAACTGAATCATGGGGGCAGGTCTTTTCCATGCTGTTCTCATGATAGTGAGTAAGTCTCACAAAATCTGATGGTTACTATAAGGGCAAGTTTTCCCGCACAAGCTCTCTTTACCTGCCGCCATCCATAGAAGGTGTGACTTGCTCCTCCTTGCCTTCCGCCATGATTGTGAGACCCCCTCCCGCAGCCATATGGAACTTTTAAGTCCAATTAAACCTCTTTGTAAATTGCCCAGTCTGGGGTATGTCTTTATCAGCAGTGTAAAAACAGACTAATACAAAGTCATTTTTGCCTGAGATTCGATATTACAGAAAGTCACACAGAAATGTTCCATGGAGTTTAGAAATAAAAATTCTAGAAGACATACATTTGTCATGTAATGGTTGGTTTTTCTTCAAAATATTCAGTGAATGTACAAAACCCATTTTAAATTAAGGATATATACAAATTACTTAAATTAGTCCCTAGATGAACAACTGGAGAAAATATGAGTAATGGGGGAAAATCTAACATGTGCAGTATGCAAAATTAATTAAAGAAAGGGCAAATCTTTGGCATCAAATGGAACAAATGTTTGATTAGAGGTATAGATAAAAGGAACACTGATGTGAAGGAAAGCATATTAAAATCTCGTGTTTGAAAATTCACTTTTCCCTAGAGTTGCTCTGGTAATTAAGATTAGCAAGAAATTTGTCAGATATTAAAACAAAAGACAAGTTTCCTCAGTATCACTAGCAATCTATTGTTAAACATAAAGTAGCCAAGGAAGCACCTTAGGACCATGTTTAAGAGCTCAGAGAATCGTCTTCCACCCCATAGGATTCCTGGCAGTTTACCTCTGGAGAAGGCTTCTGCTAGAAGTCTAGGAGCACTGGATTTGTCAAGAAGGCCAAACATAATGATCAAAGGGATGCACAGGCATGGTGCTCACACCTGGCACTCCAAAGCTTTAGGAGGCAGAGGCAGGAGGATTGTTTGAGCCCAGGAGTTCAAGACTGCAATGAGCTATGATGGCACCACTGCACCCCAGCCTGAGCAATGGAGCAGTAACTTGTGTATATATATGCAGTTTATATATACATATTTATAACAGGTTATATATATATGTATGTATATATAACCTGCATACACACACATACATATGTATATATGTGTCTCTTATCCCTGCCAGGTAGCATTGGAATAAAGGTGTGAAGACCTATAGGCACGCCAGCTCTGACTGAGCAAGCAGTGGTCAGAAAGGAGGAAGTAGCTTTTCTGGGTCAAGTGTGCCAAGCAGGCCCTGAGAAGAAATGACAGAGCTGCACATGACTGGCACCCATGCATAGGACATGAAAGGGCAGAATCCAAAGGAGCATAGGTGGGGAAAGCCAGTGGTCCTGTTTTGATCTTTTCAGCTGCTGTAGAAAGTAAAAAGTTCCTCTTCAAAGTTTCCCTTCTTGTTAAAGAATAATAATAATAAATGTTAGAAATAATAGTTTATTTTAAAGACTTTCTTCAAAGCCTTCTTCCTTTTTGCTTGTAACTTTCTGTTAAGCCCTATCCTAAGTAGCTGTTAGATATAAGGGAATAAATGCATTCTATGTCCTTGTACTTTAACCAAGATAGTTGTGGTGGACGTGCTCACAGGCACATAGTACATTCTATGTCCTTATGCTTTTTTATCACCAAGTTTAATTATGGTTCAGAAAAAAATTGAGCAATTAACTTTCTCTGAAAAAGTATATTGACTCTCTATAGACCGAGGTTATTGGGAGGAGGGGCTATATTCTATTCTGAAAATCATATTAATAGAAAGTCCTGTTTCCAGTCTTAGTATAAAGATACATGTGCCAAAAATGTTTGAGAATATATACAATAGGAAATGCAAAAGCTGTAAAGCTAAGGGCATGCAAGAGAAAACCTCAGAAATACCCAAAGTGGCAATAAGGAACGTTTGGCTAGGAATTTGAAGTTCTTTCAGTCATCTTTGTCTTTTGCTCCATGTTTCAGGATGCACGTGAACGCGATGTAATTGAAATTCACCTTTTGTTCAACAGGTGTTTCTCTGTACAGCTCACCTACTTCCTCATTCGTAAAGCGAGTTGTCAGCCGCTCTCTCAGGTAATCTTCCTGAGTAGTGCCAGTGGCTTCTTCATCAAAGCAAGCAAAAACATTTCTGATGACATCTTCAGGATCTGTGCCATTTAACTTCTCACCAAACATGGTGAGGAATATGGTGAAATTGATGGGGACTGGAGCCTCATTCATCATGGCAACCAGATACTCATCAGTTGGATTCTTCCCCAATGAAGCAAGCATATCATGCAAATCTTCCTCGTTAATGAAACCGTCTCTGTTCTGATGAATCACGTTAAAGGCCTCTTTTAACTCCTGAATCCGTGACTGGTCGAACATAGCAAACACATTGGATGTTGTGTGCTGGGGGTGCTTCTTGGTGGTCTCGGTCTTTGCTCTTTTGCTTGACATGGTGGTGGTTAAATCCTGGCACAGCTATGAGAATCTGAGCACCTCAGTGAGCTTCTCACTGCCACTATCACCACCTGCTGCCCAGAGCTATGTCCTTGTACTTTAACCAAGACTTTTTTTTTCTTTTTTTGTCTCTTTCTTTTTCTTTATTTTATTTTATTTTTTTATTTCTTCTCTTTTAACCAAGATGTTTATGTTATTACTTTTCTAAGTCCTTTCACAAGCGACTTCCTCTCCCTACCTTATTTGGACTTCCTCTTTTCCTTTTGTTCTCTATTGCCTTTACCTATTCAGAAAAGTTTTAAGTTGTCAGCCAGTCAGGTTTAGTTTTAGATTGCGAGGTCTGGCTCCAACCAACGGAGATCAGACATAGCCTTAAGGACCCAATATACAAGGAATAAATATGTCCGCCTTTCCTTTGTTCATTGTACTCTCATGGTAAGATGGCTGATGAGCAGTACCCTTTCTGTAGAAAGTAAAATTGCCTTGCTGAAAAAACTTTTTGTCTGAATGCTAATTTTTCCTTGTAGTACTAGGAACATGCAGTCTGTCTCTAACAGCTACTCTTCAGTACACTGTCAGCTACTTAATCTTTCTTTTCCCTTGTTTAAGTGAAAGTTAATATAACACTAACAAAACAGTTGTATTTATGTTTAATTAACATAACAATATCATATATAGACATTTATGTAAAGACAAGGTAGTATAGAAATTACTAGTGGTATGTTTTTAAAAATAACAATTAAAATGATGAGTTTAGAGAGGTATGAAAATGGAATTGTTAAACTCTAAAAGACAATGCATATGTATATAATGCCTTAGAAGAAACAACTCAATAAAATGACATATTCTAAGGGACTGAATAATTGCATGTTCTTCCCAGAATCTTCTATAATGGTAATATCAGTTTAGTGCATTTATTCATAGTACAACCAGGTATTCTGAGTTACATGCCTTTCAAAAACATTACTGAACATACAATGCATAGACTACCTAGAGTAAGTATGAAAGAAAGAAAACTGAAATGAATAAAACAGGGAAAATTCCATGTTTTATTCCATGTGAGATAAATTTCTCATATAGCCATTAGAATTGCCTATGAAAATCAAGCCACAATTTGAGTTCATTTTCCTCATGATGTCTGAATAATCACCAGGACTTTCACTTTAATCAGATAGAGTTTATTATGCATTTACTTCTGAATCACGTTGGGCTGGGTGTTACTTAAACCATGGTGAATAGAAATAGAAGCCTATAGATAAATGGATAGTGGCAAACACACACATGTAAAAATTATGCACACATAATACATACTTACTAGTACATGTCTAAGCAACATGAGTGCATGTAAAACTAATTTATTTCTAGTGTTTTTAGCATAATATAATGGAAAAATAGTTTTTAAGTGTGTTTAGTCATCTGATTAGCTGAGACACAAACTCCCCCTGGAAGCCTACAGCTGAGGTTTGAGGGGGAAGAGGGAAAGCCTTCAGTTGATGCAGGTTGGGGGATTAGAACAGAGACCCTTACATAACACTGGGCCTCCAAATCACAAAGAATTCTTATCTTTAGCGATACATAGATGAAACTATATAATGTCTGGCATTTTCTTCAAAATAATCGGAGGATGGGAGGAATGGGTAGAGGTTATAGATGCAAAAAGATAGACTATGAGTCTGTAATTACAGAAGTTGGGTATGGCTACATGGAGGCTTATTATAATAGTCTCTCTACTTTTGTATGCTCAAAATTTTCTAAGATAAAAAGTTTTGTTTAAGAACCATTGAAAGAAAAACCATATACTGTGTAATGGAATTGAAACAAAACTGACAAAAGATGAGAATCCAAAATGTCTACACAACTTCTATAAATCAGTAAGAGAAAGACGAACCCATTGAAAGATGGTTTAAATAAATAAATAAACCGGCATTTTCTGAAATAAAAAATGGCCAGACAAAACATTAAAAAGATGTACAGTCTCATCAGTAAGCAGGAAAAAGCAAGTTAAAACCACAATGAAATATTTTGTATGTCATCATATGCTAGGTAATACTGTTGCCACTAACACTCAAGAATCATCCCAACAAAATTGTACTTCTCACTCACATTAAGGGTCCATTTAAGGTCATCAGTGAACTGAGGTCAGTCATCTGTTTATTATGGTCACTCATGTTCCCGTGGTTACACAGCAGTCACCTCCAATGTTGTAGGCCTGCTTTCCAGAGGGAAGGAAACTATGGAGGTGTTTGCATCAGCAATTAATTACTCCAGCTAGGGACTGGCACACATTCCTTCACAATTCAGTACAAGGCACAACAAACGCACTCACCGCATGGATTTAGGAAGTGCAATTCCTTCTACCATGTGCTTGGAAGCAGGGATAACTGGAAATGTTTGGGGAAAACAAATGACTTTCATAGTTGCCAGTTTTTTCTATCAGACTGGCAAATCTATACAGTCTGACAAAACCAAATACTGGCGAAGATGTGGAGCAATAGAAACACTTAAACCCTTCTGACTGAAGAGTAAATTGGTACAAGTACTTCAGAAAACAATTTAGTGTTATTTAGTAAAGTTTAAAATTCATACAGTTTTCAACTCAGCAATACCACTCTAAGATATATATCTTAGAAAGACTTTTGCATATGTGCACCAAAGATATATTTAAATATGGTCACAGAAACACTGTTTGTACTAGTGAAATCAAACAAGCAAAAAGAAAAACTGGAAATAGCTCTCATGTCTGCAAATAGTAGATATTTTTTTGAATATTCATTTAATGAAGTACCATTTAAGACAGAATATGGATGAACAGATACATATTTATCTGGTTGAATTTTAGAAACATATTGAGTGAAACAAGTAAGCCTAAAATTATTTTATTTGACAAAGGTCTAAAAATGTTAAAATTAATATATCATTGTAGGATTGCATACCTAAGCTAAAATAAATAAATAAAAGTTAGTTTAACACAAAATTCTAGATAGTAGTTACCTCTGAGTGGATGAAGGCAGGGATGTGATCAGGGACAGCTTTAAGATATTGATAATATTCTTTTTGTTAAGTTGCTTGGAGTTGTAAACATTGTTCCTTTTGCTATTATTCTTTAACTTGTACATATACAATGTATGTACTCTATGCCTGCAAAAAAGCATAGATATATAAATATATCTTATATTGTGGAGAAAAATCAATCAATGAAAACAGAACAAAAATGGTACAGATAATAAAACTAGTCAAGGACATTAAAACAGCTATTGTAAATATATTTCAGATGTTCAAGAAGGTAGAGTAAACAGAAAAACAAAAAAATAGAGAATATCATTGGACTAAAAAACTGCTTTTATGAGATCAATGAGTAATAAACTTTCAGCTGGATTCATCAAGAAAAAATAGAAATGATACAAATTTTTAATTATAGAAATGAGAGAGGGGATACCAATATAGAAGTTGTAGGTATTAAAAGTATAAGAAAATATTACAACCAACTATTTGGGCAAGATATTTGACAACTTAGATAGAATGGACAAATTCTTTGAAAGAAACCATCTTCCAGGGATCACGGAAAAAGACATAAATTACCTGAAGAGGTCAATAGTTATTAAGATATTAAATAATAAATAATAAAGCTATTATAGTGAGAAATCTCCCCACAAAACAAACAAAACTCAGAAAACACATTAATCCAAGACAGCTTCTCTGGTTCATTCTACCTAGACATTAAAATCAAAAAGAATATCAATTCTACACAAAACTTCAAGAAAAGCAAAGAGGATAAAACACTTTGCTATCCATGTTGGGCGCAGTGGCTCATGCTTGGAATCCTAGCATTTTGAGAAGGCTGAGATGGGAGAATCAAGGCCAGGAGTTGGAGACCAGCCTGGTCAACATAGTGAGATGCTGTCCCTACAAAAACGTAAAAAAAAAAAAAAAAGCTGAGTGTGGTGGCACACGCCTGTGGTCCCAGCTACCAATAGGGTGAGGCAAGAGGATCACTTGAACCTAGGAAATCAAGGCTGCAGTGAGCTGATCCTGCACCACTGCCCTCCAGTCTGGGCAACAGAGTGAGACACTGTCTCAAAACAAACAAACAAAAAACCACGTTGCAACTCAATCTGTGAAGCCAGCATTGCCTTGATACCAAAACCAAAGATATTCCTAGAAAAGAAAATCTGCAGATCATGACCCCTGTCAACATAGTGATAAGCACTGTTTATAAATTTTACCAAGTAAAAGGTTTATCTCAAGGATGCAAGGTTGGTTTAATGTTTGAAAATCAACCCGTGTAATTCACCATATAAATACACTTAAAAAGAAACACCATGTGGTCACTTCAATACATGCAGAAAAGCATATGACAAAAATTCAACATCTATTCATGATGAAAAAAGTTAGCTAAGAAGAAATTTCAACCACATAAAGGGCAGCTATGAAATGTCTACAGTTAACGCCCCACCTAATGATGAAAGACTGAATACTTTCACTAACAGTGCAAGTGTATCCATTCTATCACTTCTATTCATCATTATAACATAGGTTATTGTAGGGTCCAGCCCTACAGGGTCCTGTGAGCCCCTCTCTACTAGTGCAGAGATGAGAAACTGTGGAAATAAAGACACAAGACACTGAGATCAAGGGAAAGAGAGTTTGGGCTCAGGGGTCCACAGCCAACCAAAGCGTGGAGTCCGGCAGTGGCCCTGAGTGCCTGGTTACTCTGACTTTTATTGCATATGAAGCAGGGGACAAGGTAGGTAGGGCGAGTCATTGATGGTCAGTGATAGGGTCAGGTAAATCACATGTCTTGGAGACAGGGGCGCAGGACTTTCAAGTAGTCAAGGTGAAGGAAGGAGCATAGTGCGTCAGCACTTTTTCCGTACTTGTCAAAAACAAAAAAGACATTAAGATTTATGTTACTATTACTGATTCTATCTTCTAAGAAAAAGAGGAACCAAGTGCAGAAGTGGAACATGAAAGTAGACATGGAACGTGACCACTGAAGCACAGCATCACATAGAGGCAATTAGGCCCCCGGATGGCTGCAGGCCTCCCTGACAGCTGTAAGGCCTCGCCCAAGAGCTTGG